CTGGAACTGCTCTGTTTGATTGGATTCCAATCAGTAGCCGGATGTGTACGGTCCGATTGACTGGCTCGTTCAAAGCTTCGAAGTTGCGCGGGACTAATTGGTGTCTATTCATTATCGCTGCCTACGCGCCCACAAACTGTAGCGATGATTCGGTAAAGAACGACTTCTACCGCCAACTGACTCAGCTCCTTCGCCACAGAAGAAGCACGGACACTGTTGTTCTGGCGGGGGATATGAACGCACAAGTTGGAAAGTTGTCCACTGATGAAATGCATCTGGGCAGTCAGCACGGTGTAGGCTCCCGTAATGATAATGGTGAGCAGTTACTTCATTTGTGTGAAGATGTCCGCTTATTTCTTGCGAGCACTAACTTCCGACACAGCACCCGCCGGAGGGTGACTTGGCGCCCACCATCCTCGAACCAGCTTTGGACGCAAATCGATCACATTGCAATCAGTTACCGCTGGAGAGGCTGCATTCAGAACTGTCGCTCGATTTGGAGCACGTGTGGACACCGATCATGCACTTGTATGTGCTGACATGCGGATGCGTTTCGGTGGACGCTCACGACGACGCTGTGAGCGCATTGACACCAGCCAACTGACAAAGCCAGTTGTTCTGATTGGGTATCGAAGTACGTTGACATGCGGGTTGAGTAAGCGCTCACTGGAGACAATTGATGGTCACTGGTCACATGTTCGCCAGACCTTACTAGCCGCAGGAAAAATCCTCATGTGGTATGTCTAACCACCAACATGGATATTGGGTCTCTTCGCGGTCTCTGGAACTTATTGACGCTCGCCTGCATATCCCGGCTGAAAGCGAACACAATGAAACTCGCAAAGAGCTCCGGGCAAAACTCCGTGCTAGCCTGAAGAGAGACCGCGAATGTTGGTGGTCTCAACCTGCGTCAGAGATAGAAGTGGCCGCTGCCGTTGGCAACCATCGTAAGTTATTCCGTCTGGTACGGGAAACGGGCAGCAGGAGACCTGGTGTTAGTGAAACTATGTGTGACGAGAGTGGACAACCTATCCACAATTTGTCAAAACGTTTGGAGCGTTGGGCTGAGCATTTTGAAAAGCAATTTAATTGCTCGGAATTGTTAGCTTCCTCATCGGCCAGTGATCGCCCTTCTCCGGGGACTGTCCCTTTTACCCGCCATCTCGCTCAGAAGTCGAACGTGAGATCGGACTATTAAAGTTGAACAAAAACGCGGGAGCCGATGATCTTCCTCCAGCCTTCTTCAAATTCGGGGGCTCTGCTCTTGTTGATGATTTACATGAAATACTAGTGAAACTGTGGGAGCAGGGAACTGTCCCAACCGACTGAAGCCGCTCCGTTATTGTTCCCATCTTCAAAGGAAGCTCGCCTTCGGAATGCGGCAGCCATAGAGGAATCAATCTGATCTCCATCGCCTCCAAATTACTCGCCTCCATAATCCTTCACTGATTGATTGGCGCTCGTGAAAGCCAGATTCGTGAGGAGAAAGCCGGGTTTCGTCGGTGTCGTGGCTGCATCGATCACGTCTTCACCTTGCGTCAGTTGTTGGAGCACCGCCACACATATTGGCGGCCCACCGTAGTCGTGTTCCTCGACATCAAAGGTGCCTTCGATTCGGTTGATCGATGTGTCCTTTGGAATTGTCTGCTCGGGAAATGTGTGCCCGAGAAATACGTAAAGGTTATCCGAGCATTATACGCGCGTAGCACGGGCAGAGTGAGGGCTTACGGCAAGCTGTCGTCGCCCTTCAAAATCTCCAGCGGTGTGAGACAAGGATGTCCGTTGTTACCTTTCCTCTTCAACTTTGTTATTGACGAAGGCATAGAGATTGCATTTACTGGACATGACTTAGAAGGTGTGGAGCTACTCCCAGGAGAACGACTTCTTGACTTGGAGTATGCAGACGACATTGCTCTCATCTGTGACAGCTCCCAAAGGTGCCAATACCCACTGGACCGATTAGCACTGGCTGTCAGCCGCTTCGGGCTTTGCTTTGCACCATCGAAGTGCAAAGCTTTCCTCCAAGATTGGCAGGGATCGCCTCCTGCGCTGACCCTTAGTGGGGATCAGCTAGAAGTCGTTCAGAAATTCAACTACCTGGGAAGTTATATCAGCGCCCTTGGTATCGAAGCCGAGATTACGAACCGTATAGCAAAAGCTCGAAGTGCTTTTGCTAGTGTTCGCCACCTATTGCCGCGGCGCGACATCACTCTTGCCCTGAAGGGTAGAGTGTACAATGCAGCGGTACGTTCGACCTTACTGTACGGTTGCGAAACCTGGCCCCTTAGATCAGCGGACATGAAGAGGCTAGTTACGTTCGACCATCGGTGCCTTCGCAGTTTGGCTCACATCTGGTGGGAACACCGCGTGAGTAACGAGCGTGTTCGACGCCTTGTTTACGGCACAGGAAAGGGAACTGAACCGCTCAGCACCGTCATTTCACGCACCAGACTCCGATGGCTGGGCCACGTGTTGCGCATGCCAGCGCACCGACTTCCGCGACGTGCGTTGTTTGCTCACCGGGGGTGTGGATGGAAGAAGAGGAGATGTGGCCAAGCGATGACTTGGTCCAGGGGAATGCAGGCCCTCACTTCGGAGCTGGCCTCGGTTGGAGCGTCTCGGCTCCCTGGTTGGGGTCCAAAAGACGATGAACACGTTTGGCTAGATACACTTGCTGACATGACAAGGAGCAGACCTCAGTTGCGTTCGTGCTGTGAGTTTCTTTGTCCCTCCCCATCCTTTTTAGCCTCCCCCTCCAACCATCATCTCATTTCGTAGCGTAATATAATTTTACATCCTAATTTTTATTGTTGCCTAGTAACCGGCTGGTAGCTTACCGGAACGCTGTCCATCCTTGCTGGTAGGTCAGCTGGCATGCAACTGTTGTATTTATTTTTCTTTTTCTTTTATGCATTGCGGCACAGTAGTTGAGATGTTTTCCACCTTTAGCTAACGTGTATAATGATGAGTGATGATGACAAGACGCGCCAGACCACAGAATTGTCGGATCTTCCATGTGCTTGTCACACTTGCAGTTTGCTTCTTGTTCATGGTCTTAGTTAGTGAAATGCACGTTTTTGTAGGTACTTTCTTTTCGCCATATTTCACTATCATTTCAGTCCGAATCGCTTTGTCGGCTTTTATAAGGAGGGTTGGTGCGGACAAGGCAATAGTTTTTTGCAGTCGCTTCCAGTCCACGTTCAACAAAGGTATCAGCAGTACGTCGGCCCACAATACCGACGCTTCTTTGCCCCTCGACCACTGACAGTTGCGCGAGAGGTGAATACTCAGATGCTTTTCCGACAGCGGGTAGTGTCCGAGGGCATCGTACAGATTCCCCCTTTTCGTCCAACTTTATCATGGACTTCATCATGGAGTGCTTCCTCGAGGAATCTCACAATGTGGCAATTAACATCTGTGTGGTGGAAAACTGATGAATCTGCATTATGCGGACGACATCGTCTTGTTTTTAACAAGTGTGAAGCATCGCAGCCAACATTGGATAAACTCTGGAATGATCCTGCTATTTTGTATGCACTTCGCGCATGCACAGGGCTGTTACGGGACATCTGAACTCTGACGACGGTGAACCAGAACTTGTTGATTAATTCGCCTATTTTAGCAGCTGCTTTGGCAGCAACGGCGCTTGAGTCAGAGAGCTGGAACCGTTTTATGGAATCTGCGAGTCTTCACGGCCATGGTGAGAGCCATTTCTATCCATGGGGGCGAGATTTAGCACCTTAATTTGTTGAACCATCCTTGTCTGCGGAAACATGTTGGTGTCAGATGGCATCTGCGTGTCTTCAAAGGCGATGCGCGTCGGCGAGTGTTAGACCTTGATAGTCAGATTCGTTCTTCAGAACAATTAACACTGAATAAGTTGAGTTGGCTTGGACATGTCCCCCTTAGCTCCATGGGACACTCAGCCGTGCGACTTCGATCTCATCGGACGGCACGTATTTAGTATAGTATATTAAAACAACAAACGATACAAACCAGTCTATATGCTTTTGCGGCGACGGAACCCATTTTATAGTTGCGTAAACATGCCTCTTTCTATCTGTATTCAAACATTTCGTACATCAATTAGAAGCTGATCACATCTAGGCTCAATCATATAGTCATCACACCCAGAAAACCACTGTACAACTGCTACATTCTTTTCGGGAATCGTCAGCAGTGCACACTTCATCCGGTACCTATGGGGTTAGAACCCGAAACTCGACAGTTGCAAGTCTGTGCTTGAGACTGCTGAGCTACGGGTGACGGCAACGACCGTCGTTTCTAAGTGACTAAATGCGATATAGCGGCGCTCATTATCCACTGACTTGCACGTTACTCTCGTTTAGAGGCCAGTCACGTCGGCTGTCACCGTCCCCCGTGGCCTAGTGGCATTCACCACAGACTGGTAACAGTCGCATTGCGGGTTCTAACCCCACAGGGCCCAGATAGGGTGCGCATTGCTGACGATTCCCTTGAGAATGGAACGGATGAACAGAGCTGTTCCGTGCCTGTGATGGCTGTCTTACTGAGTCTAGATGTGAAAAACTTCATACTCATTCTCATACCATTTAACTACCCCTACTGTTCTCTTGATTCTATTTGTGTTCATGTTTTCTCTATTTCCACTTTCTTGATTTTTCAACTTTGTGCCATCTTTCAATTGTTGTGGCGATTCGATCCCACAGACAAACGTCATTGCTTGGGCATTTTTACGTAGTTGGTGCCTTGTTTCTCACATCGTCACGGTCGCTTATTTATTGGCTATTGCAACCCTTTCGTTTGCCCATTTATCGAAATTACTTGTTTCTTGTTTGTGTACCTTAAAACACTTTTGTTGACAAAGCTACCAATTCCATTAGATTAAACTAGTTTCCTCTGATGCCTATAGCTGAGTGCAACGCTTTGATTGTTATCACGCGCTTTTACATTGACCTAAATTTGTTTACATTCTATCGAGCACTTTTTGTCTACAGGGATACTTATTCTTTTCACCTCAGGTTCTCAAGTTTCATCGTCAGATTGTTTACTAGTTTCACTTGGTCACCAAACCAGCCACATTGTGCCGCTCATGTCAACGAGGGATTCGGCGTCCGCTTCGTTCCAACCACTGTTTCAAGCTGCCCGACGACTTCACGTTGGCGGTGCGCACATCAGTTGGATTATACAACGCCTGCTCCATCTTAAATATTCATGCCACACTGAGAGGATCACTTTTGGATTGTCCGAGGTTTGTTCTATCCTATCTTCACCCATATGAGCGAATAGGTTACTGTGTTCGATTTTCTTCTAGATTTAGCGAATGCATGGGTCGACTCTTATCATTCCTTATTAAATATTACCGCCAGTTTCTCGGCATCTGCTTCGAAGACCTGAATCTACATTGAATATCGCGTCAGACGCATTTTCGAACAATATGCCGTTTTTATACTTACATTTATTTACCGATTTATGGGTTATTATTATAAACATCTCCGTTTAGTCTGAATTCAATCCATTCAACATGATTACCTCATTATTTTTTAAGCACCTGCTGCACAACTTCGGCAAGTTTGCTCTCAACTACAGGGATGAACTCGAGCTGTGGCGAAATCCGGAGTACCGACAATCACAAACCAAAATCATCCAGCTTCCTCTCGCCCAGGTATGTGCTTGTTTCACTGATGTCCTTGTCCACTCTCTACGTAGCTGCACTTCACACACGCTCGTGGCCTTATCTACCGACCTTACTTTTCTGCAGAGTCATCTGAAAATTTGTTTTACCAGCCGGCTTATTAATCCTAGTTTGGGTTTTGTAATTCCCCTACGCAGGGTAACGTGTATGCAATATGCTTCTTTACCGAGAAACATCAGCTTCTAGTGGTACCCTTGAGATTGACTGCTTTGCTTGTCGGAAATCTGTTCCGTGCTACTTTTATACCAAGAGAGACCGCTGCCGAATATAAGCCACAAATGTCATCAATCCACTTAATCTATAAATCGGATTATACCGTCAAAACCTAGCTGCGAACTTTCCAAGGCTGCTGTAGGTAATCTCGACTTGATTCAACTATTTTATTTGAATGCACACATTTGTTCACTAAGCATTATTCATATATATCCCATTGGAAACTGGTGTTCGGCTTGGGCGCGTTCCATACAGTTCATATAGAACTGTTCGCGCGAAGCACACCGTGTATCTTAAGAAACATGCCATTATGATATTTTGTTTTGATCCGCTGAATCGTTGAAAGTCTTTGGGTGATCCGTTCACAGCTCTTTTTATGTGTAAACTGGTGGATCTTTGTCTGTTTACCAATCTCGGAGTTGCAGGATGATCTCCTGTTATGCGATGGAGTTGTGTGTATTGCTTCAGCTGCCTGTTTGCAACGTTTGCGCTCCTGGTTAAAGTCCCATTTCCCTCATGGTACTTCATTCCGCGTGCAGCTTCTTAGGATTGTATGACAATGAACCATCGATAGGTAGTACCGGTGTACTGCTGACTCCGACCGGGAAGGACGGTTACGGTGAGCTAGAATGTACATAATCCGCCACTCGCACTAACCATTTCTAGTGACTCGCCACTGAGTACAGTCACTGCCCCTTGCCTCTCTCTGAGTGGCATTGTAAATCAAGGGTGTGTTGCGCCCCTGGTCCTATGCGATCCTAAAGCCGTATGAACCACTTGTTTGGTCACCGGCTCCCAACTGGTTGCGATACCCTCATATTGCCCTGCTGCCTTGTAGGTTAGATCCTGGATCAAAGGCTCGGGGTGGGGCCCCTATGACAACTCACTGCTTCGGCCTGGACAACCGGGTAATTTCACGCCCATTGACGAACCATGGATGGATTACACGAGTGCTTTCCCTCTTGCTATGTCTGCTAGCTTTACTACCTCTGCTACTCAACATCCCCTCACAGATCGTCCCACGTCCCGTTCTTCAACTACACCTATGTCTTCCCCGGTCACCACCAACAACAGCTCACTGGTCGCACCTGACAGTGTTCTTAGCCAAACGTTTGGTGTTCGTTGCCCGGTGATCACAACATCTGCACACTCGACCGAAGCCCAAGCTTTCCTTCTGGTTGTCCATTCGGCCTTGTAGCGTTCAATGTGCACACTCTGATGCAGATCGGACGACAAGCATGTATGGCCCGCACGCTTGAGACACTCTCGGTGGACATCAGTTACCTTGTTAAAACCAGGTTGCAAGGCTCCAGTACCATCATCAGAATGACAACTCCGGCAAACCCTGACGTCAAATACCACTTGCGCCTTTCCGGTGATCCAGAGGCAGCCACTTCTGGCCAAGCTGGTTTTGGGGTTACACTGAGTGACAGAGCTGAGGTCGCTTTGCTTGACTGCATCCCAATCAACAGTCGGCTATGTACATTCAGACTACGAGGTTCATGTGAGCTAAGTAAGCGCTGCGATGTTACGCGTGCCTTGTTTGTCATCTCCGCTTACGCACCTACAGACTGCAGTCCGGATGCAGTCAAGGATTGCTTTTATCAACACCTACATGAGTTACTGCGTTCCGCTGAGAAGTCTGACATTGTCATTCTTGCCAGAGATTTTAATGCACGAGTGGGCCGCCTGCCACCAAGCAAGCACCATCTTGAGAGTAGTTTTGGCCTCGGGAGCAGCCGATCAGACAATGGAGACAGATTACTGACCTTTTGTTCTGATCATCGCTTGTTTCTTTCGAATACAAGTTTTCGTCGTACGGAAAGACACTGCTACCTGGCGTCCGCCTTCTCAAACACAAAATGGTCCCAGCTTGACCACATAGTAATAAGCTACAATGGCGCGGAAGCGGAACAAACTGCCGATCGTACTGGTCAACTTGTCTGGACTCCGATGAGACACTGGTTCGCGCTAAAATTTGTAAGCATTTCGGAGGATCATCCAGATGTACGCACTACCGACCGAATGTAGAAAATCTGCAAAATTCTGCGACGTTAGCCAAGTACAAGGCTTCTCTTTCAACACTACTTGCTTCATCCTCTGACGATGGTCTCAATTCGCAATGGATGCGCAGCAATGACGCTTTAATTTCTGCCAGTACTATCAATTGTAGATTTGCTTGCCACCCGCCGAAAAGCTGGATCACCACTGCCTCCTTGTCGCTGATGGACAGACGGCGCTTGATCGCAGCCGACACCAGCTGTATTTAGGAACGCCGAGCTCTGGATCGAGCGTTGCGCAGGAGCTTACAGAAGGACCGTGACACCTTGTGACGTGAATATGCTAGAGAGCTTGAACTTTCTAATGTTCCACCTCATTCGAGTCACCAAAAACTTCCGCTCAGGAATAAGCGAAACAGTCTGCGAAGATGATGGCTTACTAATCATTAATCTTTAATGAAAGTTGGAACGATGGGCCGAACATTTTCGCTCGCAGTTTTCCTGGCCTCCAGCTCCACCAGTTTCCCCTGGGGCGAGCACTTGAGATGAGTGGACTATCCCAAATGATCCTCCCTCTCACCAGGAAATCTGGCGGGATCTCTACTGCTTAAATCGTTATAAGGCATCCGGTCCTGTTGGTCTACCTCCTACTCTATGTAAAGATGGAGGATCTTTGCTGGTTCGAGAACTCACCGTTTTGTTCTCAGAAGTCTAGGCAAAAGAGGAGGTTCCATCATCCAGGAGTGAGTCGGTAGTCGTCTCTATCATCAACAAGAGCGCGCGCACAAATTGCTCCAATTACAGGGGCATAAATTTGGTTCTCGTCCTTTGCAAGATTCTGGTGTCCATCATTCTTCGCAAGCTATCCCGAAAGCGTGAATCACTACAGCGAGAAGAGCAGGCAGAGTTCCGCCCTGGTCGCGGATGCATCGATCAGATTTCCACACTCGTCGACTGTCTGTCCTCGAGAACCGTTGCTTGCGGTCCATCGCCCGTGTGTGATGGCTGAACCACGTAACCAACGCTGAAGTCAGACAGCTTGTCTTGGATGGAGACAGCCACTCCCTCTAGGCGTTTGTCTCGCTGCGCCAACTACGATGGCTCGGACACCTACTGCGTATGCCCCCTAAGACAGCCCTCTACTTCGGCTTGGGAAACTGGGTAATATCTCGCCCACTGACAAACCATGGATAGATCCTTCCCTTCCTTTCCCCAATAGAAAACACAAAAAAACGCTCAAAAACTGCAAGTGGAAAATGGACAAAATGTGTTTGTTTTTTTCATTTAATCTACCCTGTTTTCCTATCCCGCCATGGTTTCGATGGCACAATATTTACGAGCATTCACCATCTATCTTCAGGAAACGTCGGATGGCTTATGTCACCCTTCCGAACTGCACCACATCCTTTGGGGACCCGGAAGAGGAGAGCCGCGATGCATAGTGGTGGAACCCAAGAACACTTTTGTGCTAGCCCAGAATCTTTCCATGCCTACCACCAATGGATGAGCTAGCCTGCGTAACATTACCTCAGGGTTTCGATGATTGGTGCTCAATCACTGTCGACACAAGGCGCATCACAATAGCACATGAACGCTGCCGCTGATTGTCCGCGACTGCTTATTCATCTCGCCTGCAAAGCAAACGAGACTTATTCGCAGTTACCTCCACAAGGAAGACATTCCCCGATCCGTAACCTGGGGACGCGCCCGCCATGAGGGATCCCCGAGGGATCGAATTTAACTCGATAACCACACCTGTGTAAAGCAGTGCAATAGTTTACCTGCTATTTGATATACTGGAGTACGCCGTTTTGCGTTTTTGAGTGTCTCTACGCCCATTCCTACGAGACAGACCCATAGAGTCAGACACAATTTCGCGATCTCATCCCTGTTGGCATTCGCTTGCTCTCATCATCCACAACTTCTTCATAGGAGACGATGCTTTGTGGGTATTTCCCCAGCTCGGTTGGTGTGGATGGCAAATAGCACATCTAGTTTGTGACACGGCCAACAGAACTGTGGCACACTGATTTTCCACCGCTTGCTTCAAATCAAACTGGCATCCTCCAATATGATACGAAGTTGTTCTTAATCACTATAAATCTCTAACGCTTTAGCCAGTCGAAAACATCCGTCACTTCCCCAGAACCAACGGGGCTTGTTCATGTTCGACCCCAAGACACTATCTTCGGAACTCTGAGATCGTCGTCCCGAGTTGGCTCCGCTGACCTTGGCGTAGTTTGGACTCTTGAGCCATTCTTCTCGAATACACTCATTCGAGCGGATTCCCATTTAGCCCCTACTAAAGGCAGTCTTTTCGAATGAATCCCTGTGAATGCATCGTATCGGTTTGATTTCACACCTTCAGCAATGCTGCTTGTCAACGAAGAAAGGCGTGATGCTACTTGCTTCCAGCATACAATCGATTAGAAGGTATCCAAGGTTAACTCCACTATGTATTCATTCAGGTTAATCTGATCAGGAATAAAGTTGTGGCGGTCAGTGCAATGACATGCATAATCAAATTGGCTTCCTATCGGAGATGGAACACCGTATTGTAGTCCTGATGTTTCTGCGCATGCCGATTGGATAATGCGGATCGATCTTTCAGGCAATGTACCGATTACCGTTTCTATCTTAATGCTGCGGCCCTCCATTGCACGCGTCTAGCTTACGTTACCTGACGCACACCTGCATATGCTGCTACTTTGTATAAGCAACCATATCACCGTCGGTGACAGATAACACACTTCCGCC